CACAGAGCAAGGTAACCACGCTAATCCATGGTCCGTAGGGAAAAACTAAAACAATGTTTCTGACATAAACACATAAAATGCACTTGATTAACACAAGATGCATGCTGCAACCTAATTACATTAATTTTTGTGATTTCAGAATATTGAAATTGGCGGATAAACAGCGAAGCAATAATTACGTAGAACAAACGCAAACCATTTTTTACTCTTAAAGTGTCCTAAAAAATTGTTAATAAAATAAAGAAATTGCACTAAAATGTTTCCGTCTAACAAGTCCATGAATTTTGAAGTGTTCGTTACAGCTACTGCATAACACTTGCGCATTTTTAGGACGAAATAGGCTTTATCCAAATTCCAAATAAAAAAATTGCACTAAAATGTTTCCGTCTAACAAGTCCATGAATTTCGTATTATAAGTGATGCATTTAGTGTTCGTTACAGCTACTGCATAACACTTGCGCATTTTTAGGACGAAATAGGCTTTATCCAAATTCTTTTTATCATACTGTTTTATTTGGACTATATGCCTTAAATTATTTCTGACATCTCACTGGTGATAAAACAATTATTTCAAAATATTTGGTGGGACATAACCGTCCTAAGCAATATAATACAATGGAACATTGTATATTTATGTATCGAGAGATGCAAGATCATCAATGCACTAGAGCAGGCGCGTAGCATTCGATCTTGTAGCCCAGTGATGGCAAACAACTGACCAATAATGACCTGAATCTAGAACGCAGTTAGAAATTCCGGGCTTTCCAGTGGATTTGCACGTCCAACTTTTGCCTTCGAAGGCCGCGAGCTCAAACCCAACTCACACAAACGGGATCGGGGTGACCTGACCTGTAGCTAATCGTACGTAATACGCTGCGATGCACATCTAGCTGTTACATTATGAGATTTAGTAGTACACACGCGTATCGTACGTAGAATCGTATACGTAGAATATGAAGATATCGTACGTACAATCGTATGATTGTAAGATTTAATGCGCGTTGAAAAATTAGATTGCCAATGACGTCGTCTCATTCTGCTTGTTGTAACGAAGACGCGCTGGTCCGGGCAACTGCTGGGTTGTCGAGGAGCAATAACCGAGGAACCAGGATGCGCTCTTATCGTATCGTGCCAACCGTTGCTGTCGTTCAACAAAAAATCTGCCTGGATACAGGTCTGTCTAAAAACGCAATTTGAAACTATGCACACGCATTTACATCTGTTCGAAATTGGCTATAAAAGATGTTCGCTAATAGGTTTGTCATTCGAAATCATGCATATTCCTGCCAATGACTCTGTAGTTTTCTCTAAGCACATGTGCATGGAATATTTGGCGCTGGAATATCAAAACACTGAATTACGTTACAACTACGGTATCATTATTGTCAAATAATGTATATGCCTTCTTAGAATCGGGAAGATGACAGCAATCATTATAATAGTTATAACGCAGCACATATATTCGATATTGTTTGAAACCTGTCGCAAAGCAATGTGTCGTTTTGCATGACCGGCCATGACAGTCTTCGTTGAAAAAAACACGGCCTTCCTGGAAAATCCCTGCAAAGTTGACCGATATTGTAATTCTTTGTCTGCGAGCAGGCACCTTGTCTAGGGGCCATTTTTCGTCTCTGATGACTTCCCATCGAGTATGCAGCGGCAGGTTCTGCTAGATTCTATAAATACTCCTAACTAGTTCGTCCAGTAGTTTATGGGAATTTATAAATGACCTTAAAAAAGATTTTATGGCGTCCTAGTTCTAGCATTAATTTATATCCGCTTGCTTGACAGAAACGTCATTGAGCTATAACTACAGATCCTGGTCGGGACCGCATTGTAATTTCCCCCGCCACGCCCCACTAAACAATCAACATAATATATAAACCCACGCCTGAATTGCTTGTAATCAATTCGCACATCGAATCTAAGTTGCATTATTATCTCCTCTAAGCTCTCCTCTTATTATCTCCCCTATCTCTCTTAGCTGTTAACCCACGACTCGACGAAGCCTAGAGCCAGAGCCATGCAGAAGTTGATACTGGTGTTGGTGCTGCTCGTTGCGATTGGTGCAAAAAATTAGATTGGCAATGACGCCGTCTCATTCTGCTAGTTGTAACGAAGACGCGCTGGTCCGGGCGCTCGTTTCTTTTTCCCAGTCGACATATCCAGTCGAAGAATTTAGCGCCTTCTGATTGGTTCTGATTAGTTCATCCTGCCTCCTGATTGGTTCAAAAACAGCGCGTGTTTGCTTATTTAGCATATGTCATGTACTGTTTCGTATATATCCTCTGTGGCGTGATGGATAGGCCACCGGCGTTACTTCTGAAAGGTCGTTGGTTCGAATCCCGTTTGGTTTTTAATTATTTTTTTGTTTTCTGTATTTTTCTATCTTTATCCATTTAACTATTGTTTTCTAATTAACGGAAATATTTGCATGATTGATTTACAACAATTAAATATTTTACAGAGTTTTGGGCTNGTGTGCGTGGCTGCGTGAGCGTGTATGTATGCGTGTGCGCTTGTATGTGCGTGGCGCGGCCTGTGTGTGTAAATGGCTGGTGCGTGGAACTCAGCCCAAGCCATCCCTCCCCCGTGCGCCGTGTTCATGTGCGTGCGCCGCCGCTGTGACATGGGTGTTGTGGAATGCGGTGGTGTGTGCGTGGGCCGTGTGCGCTGTGTGGTATGTATGTATGTATGTTAGTATGTATGTATGACGCGCTGGTGGCGGGTGGGGTGGGCGTGCGTGGGTGAGGGGGGTGTGTGTGCGGCGTGTGTGTGGAATGCCGGGTGTGTGCGGTGCCGTGCGCGCGTGTTGGGAGGTGTGTTCGTGTGCGCGCGGTGTGTGCATATATATTGACGGAAACGGGCGCGTGAACCCTGCCGCCGCCGTCCGACTGATTTTCAAGAAATAATATCGGCCTTCAAAACTACTCAATGCATTTGCTTTGTTTAAGAATGGTACTTATTAATGATGCTTCTAACCAGAATGAGATTTCAAAATAATATCTAAATAAGTTGAAAATTGTATTTGAAAAGTCACCCCATTGTCACTTTTTTGAAAAAATTGAGGTAATTTAGGTTAAGGAGAATAAAATAGTTGATAATGAGCCGAGATAAATATCAGTATTTTCGTACTGTAAATACATCCGTCAACTGAAAAGTGAGATATAGATAATGATTTAACGCGCCATCCTCAAATTCAGACGACCATCTCAGACCTCGTCTGGTAGGACGGTAATAGCTGATAGGAGTATAATATTATATATATATATAATATCGATACTCTCTGATAGACAATACGACGACTGCTCGAAACGGTTGGACTGAGCGTCATAACCGAGAACAAACGCGGAATTCGATTATCGACAATATGCAACTTGGGCTTCATGGGCGGGGGGCGCGCATGTCATAGAATTTCACACCACGGATCAAATCACTACACACAGTTATCTCTGTCGTAGAAAGTATAATCGTTTTAGTCGCAGGAACAGGAATTTTCGCAGCCGGCGCGCCGCAGTATGCTTAGGCTGTAATATGGTGAAAGAAGAACGAATATGACAGGGCGGAGTGATCGTTGGAGTATATGCGAAGACAACTGTTGGGGACATCAGTGTTGACTGGATGCAGTATAGTTCACACAGGCATGACCTCCGACTTTGATACCTCTGATCAGCAGCGAGTGAACGGTGCGGACCTAAGCGCGTGCGAATAACACAGAGCGTTGCCACCCGGATCTGGCTATACATCCAGCTTTTTATAACCTTGATGGTTTACTATATGATAACTATGTGAATTTGGTTACTGTTATCACGAGCACTATAGATGACTTGTGGTGAGACATGGGTGCTAAATTTAGCAGTCAGTAGTGGCTGTAAGAATATTACTCAGCTAACTTACTTTAGAAGGCTGTGTATGTGGTCGCAGATCTATCTCAGGTTACCCCATGACGACTTAGGGTGATAGAATGGATAAATGCTGGTAAGTAATCATTACGATATAGACGTAAATATATATAAAAGAAATTAGTATTTGTAACCGTGGACGAACGAAACTATACTCATAGCGCGATGGTATACTTAATAGTGTATTGTTATGACTTTGTATCGTTTACTTATTACGTTAATATACTAATAATATAATAATTCTCTAAAATAAATTTGTGGGTAATTGCATGAAGCCATCCGTTTAAGTTTATTGCATTAATCCATACTTCCCACACACACACACACACAGAACGCCCACACACACACACACACACACACACACACCACACACACACACACACACACACACCACACACCACACACAACACACACACGACACACACACACACACACACACACATCACACACACACACACACACACACACACACACACACACACACACACACACAACACACACACGACACACACACACACACACACACACACACACACACACACCACACACACACACACACACAACACACACACACACACACACACCACACACATCACACACACACACACAACACCACACACACACACACCACACACACCACACGCACACACACAGAACAACAAAATAATTGCATATGGCCATTTACACGCCAGTTCCAATCCGACAATATTTATACGAAGAAATGGCTACCACACTATCAACTATTATTGGGCCTAAGCCATCGAAATAATAATACAGCTCATGACACAAATCGATTCGCGGCCTGTGGTCCTAGCCGACCATATCCGCGAGACAATACATACTAGCTTGGTAGCGCACATGTGCACAGAGCAAGGTAACCACGCTAATCCATGGTCCGTGGAGAAAAAACTAAAACAATGTTACTGACATAAACACATAAAATGCACTTGATTAACACAAGATGCATGCTGCAACATAATTACATTAATTCTTGTGAATTCAGATTATTGAAACTGGCGGATAAATAGCGAAGTAATAAATACGTAGAACAAACGCAAAACATAGTTTGCTCTTAAAGGGACCTAAAGAATTGTTAATAAAAAAAAATTGCACTAAAATGTTTCCGTCTAAGTCCATGAATTTCGTATTATAAGTGATGCATTCATTTAGTGTTCGTTACAGTAAATATTGCACGTAACACTTGCGCATTTTTAGGACGAAATAGGCTTTATCCAAATTCTTTTTATCATACTGTTTTATTTGGACTATATGCCTTAAATTATTTCGGACACCTTACTGGTGATAAAACAATTATTTCGAAATATTTGGTGGGACATAACCGTCCTAAGCAATATAATACAATGAAACCTTGTATATTTATGTATCAAGAGATGCAAGATCATCAATACACTAGAGCAGGAGTACATGGACAGATCTCTATTTATGTAACCCTTACTAGATTATAATGTCAGGTTTACAGAAAATATCATCACTGTGAGCAATGCAGAACATCATCATGATAACGTTGCACGTGCTACTATGTTATACTTGAGATTCTTCTACATTCTAGGTATACACCTATCACTTATATTGTATACAAAATTATCTAAAGTTAAACGCAGTTGAAAAGTTACATACAGCAATTTCATGTGGTAAAATATCCTGAAAGTTCCGATTCAAAAATTGTTCATGTTTAAATTTTTTTGGCAGTGTTACACATGGACGGCTGCAAACATGTTCCTAGAAAACACTCGCATGTGAGGGAAGTGTAACACAACGTATACACAGTGTGACTAGTACCATAATATTGGCGGCGCACACACTAAATCGACAGTAGTCCAACAACACTCGAATCGCATTTGCACTATTTCCCCTCCACTGTGATCACGAACGAACTTGCACTTTGCTCTCTTGGGCGGCAAATACGAAATACCGCATAAAAAACGTTTTCTATATCCCGTGACACTTATTAATTACACAAAGGTGAACACACGGCAAACGTTTCATAAGTGCGTGACCGCCACCAGAACATCTAGTCGACATTCCACTCGGTCCGTACCGTCGCAGTTGGTCGACTATAACGACCTCCGTGAGGGGTGGGGTCATCGTGTGCTGCCGTCACCGCCTCCTGACCAGTGATCCGACGTAGACCCACACGGACAGTACGTTCCCAGGGTAGGCGTGTATGTAGACGGCCAGTGCGAATTCTACGTCGCTGGTTTCGACGGCGTGCACGCGCGTCGCAGCCACCTGCTGAACGACGGCAGCGATGTCCGTGTACGCCATGTTCAGTGGGAATCCCAACACCTGCAACGCAACGCACGCAACCACGTACAATACAAGCACGGTGCAACGGCTGACTACCGACACGCTGATTCAATGCAAGTCATGCAATCATATGTGTATGTGATTGTATGTGATGTAAAGTCATACAATGTATGTGATTGTATGTGATGTAAAGTCATACAATGTATGTGATTGTATGTGATGTAAAGTCATACAATGTATGTGATTGTATGTGATGTAAAGTCATACAATATATGGTATTGTATGTGATGTAAAGTCATACAATGTAGGGGGAATGCCCTGTATAGGGGCAGGGGCGTGTACAGGAGGGGGGGTCCAGGCGGTCCGGACCCCCCCCCCCCCCTGCTCCGCAGAAAACGCATCTAAGGGGGTCTAATTTCAAAATTTTCTGAGGGAGGGCCCCCCAGATACCCCCTTCGCGTGCTCGCAAGTTTGGGTTACGGTTAGACCCCCCCTCCCCTGGTACAAATCCTGTACACGCCCCTCAAAGGGAATGCTCCTGTACCTTATACGACGTCAGTAAGCTCTGCAGCTCGGCGCCATGTTCTTCCGCAGCGGCAGCTCCATGGCTTTCCTCCAACCTGTTAGCAACACACATATAATACTCCAACATAACCACGAGATCACCACGCGCCAAGTTAGAAAAAACAACAACTTTGAAAGCAGGCGACTTCTTCGAGTACAATGCTGGTGTGATTGACGTGTACAGATTGACATTTGGAGTCGTCCTCGAAGGTGGACCGTAGCAAGCTCGCGAGTTGCGTAGCGCGTATGACGTCTGCAAACCTCGTAGGATCAGGTCTGCGATGAGATCACTTGCTCATCGGATTTCACGTTGTAAGTTCAAATATTCGCTTACTTTCTGAGATGGCTTCACAAGCATGTTCCCATGATTTGTGCGGGCGCTGTCGCCACAATGTAATGTTAGTACTGCACTTGTGTTCCCAGGTTTCCAGCAATGTCATATTTGTACATTCTGCACTTATTCCTGCTTGGTTACCGTGCCTGATATTTGTACCGGACTTGCCTGGGTAAGAGCTGGCGGAATATCTGCGTGCAGTAGCGATTCCATCGCGTGATGTGTAGGGGGCGCCACTCCATGATTTTCTCTCGCACAGTGCGTTCAATGCGTTCTTCGAGATCCGTAACTTGTTGCTGATTGGTGACGCGTAGACAAGCGACTCTGGCTATAATGTGGGAAACAAGCAAATTCAGCTGCTGCCTTGTATCAACAAGTAATTCTAGACGTGTGGAGCAAACAAGGCAATACGGTCGCTGTAATAAATTCCTAACGAGTGAAAGTAACTAACGTAATAATTGCGCACTAGCTAGGCTAACACATTTATAGTACCTGTACACTTGTCAGAGCTGGTCTTAGGTAGGATTTGCTGAATAGTGGCTTCCAGTCACTGACCTTGGTCAGGTTAAATGACATTCGCGATGGCTGTTCATTTTTTTGCATGTTGGCCCAGATCTGTGAAAAAATTAGTAGTGAAAGATAATAAATTCCTAGCAGATGCAAATGCTTATCACGACTAGCCGACCAAGAAAAACCAGCTAATGAAGCTTCCTTAATTGTGACCAGAATATCTCAATATTATGTTAAGATAATATGCACTTTAGTATGAGCTAATACTAACACATTACACAACCACGGACTTCATGCATATAATATGTTTGTGTGCAACTTTTACATCGAATACATTTAGAATTACACTGATCTCTATATAATAACTATGATGTTAATATATGAAGATATATGAGAATTGCTCACGTTCTCCTGGTTTATCAGGCACCAGACGGCCTGTAGGGGCAGTAGTTGTCTTGGTGCTGTAGTGTGTCCCGTGCTCGCGCACCACAGCCAGAACTTGCCGCCGTCCTCTCTAGTGAGCACGTACACTGTCCTGCCCTCTGGCACGGCAGAGCCGATGCACAGCCACGCTTGCTTGTTGAGGTGCAGGAAGTAGTTGCAGAGTAGAACGGCGTGTTCATCCTCATCTCCGCAGAGCATTTGCAGAAATTGCTATCGAACCAAAAGAGTTTTTTCGTCAAGCTTTCCGAGAAGCAGCCACCCCACCTTTTCGTGCTTTACGACATGGATCGACGGGATGCAGCGGTAAATCTACAGAAATTTCTGCGACTCTTTCATTTAAACACGCAGGCGCACGTTTGCTGTTCATTTGCTGTTTTTACAGCCTATAACAGCACAAATTTGTGGTGATTGTTGTGCCGGAGTAATCAGTAAAAAGTCTGCTAATAGTCAGAACCAATTTGTCTACACTTATGCCGTTTGAAGACTTATTCGTGACATAGTAATTTAATGAGCCATACGTGAAAAAGGTAGACGGTCGTGCTGCGTTCTCGCGACGGTGAAGTACTCGCTATATAAATACCGCGTGTACACGTACGTCGCATGTGCTCCAAATGTCGCACGTCGTTGAGAAGAACACGCTGTCGTCAGCGGCCGGTATCAGTGACACGTAGTGGGCCACCCGCTCCTACAACAACGGCAACACACACACACGGTGAACACACACGGTGAACACACACGGTGAACACACACGGTGAATCCCACACGGTGAACACACACGGTGAACACACACGGTGAACACACACGGTGAACACGCACGGTGAACACACACGGTGAACACACACGGTGAACACGCACGGTGAACACGCACGGTAAACACGCAAGGCAAACACACACGGTGAACACACACGGTGGATCGCACACATCCCCGCGTTAACTCCCGCCCCCACACACACACACACAATCACGACGACATTTCCTATCTCTCTCGCCCCCGCTCACACCCTCTGATAATTCACCGCCAACCGACAGCAGGTGTATTTCTCCAGTGATCGCCTACTGATTGCACTGATTGCACAGATCTTCCCAACGGGCCGACGAGTGACGTGCGTGAGTGTAATCGATAGCCACACACCTGGTCAGAACGCCCGACAAACAACGTCATCGCGGCGCGACGTAACATCGAAATAGATCGACCCGAAAAAAAATTTGCTCGCGATATATCATAAATTGGCAACAACATCATATAAAAAAAATCACAGTGCAGGTGGGTGGGAGGAAGAGGGATACTGGAAAACGCGAACACGCTCTCTCTTTTTTACGCTCTTGCAACGATCTTATATTACGCAAAATCACGGTGCAGGTGGGAGAGAGGAGAGGGAGGAGGGAGGTAATACCCGAAAAAGCGAACACGCTCTCTTTTTACGCTGTTGCAACGATCTTACGCAAAATCACGGCGCAGGTGGGAGAGAGGAGGAGGGGGTGGTGGGAGAGAATACCCGAAAACGTGAACACGCTCTCTCTTTTTTACACATCTTGAAACGATCTTACGTAACTGCAATGGACAGCGGGGATGCGGCGGCTTGCGTCGTCAGGGGGCGTCGGTGGCTTCAGCGGCCGTACGAAGCGCAGCACGAACACGAGTTTTCCCGTCACGTCGACCACGGTGACCTTGACGTCTCTGTGCGGAAGGTGGCCGTCACCTGGGGCGCGCACATGTCGACGTCATGCAGCAAACGTGTCGCTCTCGTTCGTCTCAAACTGCCGATCAGTGAACGATAAACACGAGTTAATTATGCAGATCGCTGTTTCTGCTGCTGCTGCTGCTGGTGGTGGTGGTGGTGCTGCTGTTGTTGGTGCTGGGTGCTGCTGCTGCTACTGCTGTTGCTGTTGCTGCTGCTAATTGAAGTGCGTAGAGGAAGTATAGGCCTAGTGCGCGATTGAATGGAACCCTCACTATTTTCATCACTGATAATATCCAGAATAGGGAATAAACACACTATATTTATTGTGTGTGTCGTCTATTCACGATCATATATGTCCACATACTACGATTGGTTATGTTGTATAAATTTCTAAGTTGACGCCAATTAAAGGCTCACAATGGCGCATCAAACGCTAATTTCTCCAGTACTAGACTAGCAAATACTTCGTGGCATACATACTCACACTACCGTATGACAAAATAAACTCTAGTTCCTCCCATTCACTGCGCGTTGTCTTATAAAAAGGTATTTTAAAAATATACTCCAATGTTGTTCAAATTCTCCCTGATGTTTTGACAGTTCCCCAATCCCCAAGCAACCGCGCAGCTGGTGCTGCGGTACAGCGGTACGGGTGTAGCAAAGATAAAAACATGTGAACGTCACGTCACCACTTCGAGGCTTATTGTTTGGCAAACAGTCGGCGTTTGCGCCAGAATGCCAGTTTTCTCACCTCTTTCTTGTGGGTTTTAAGACAACGCGCAGTGAAATGGGAGCAACTAGAGTTTATTTTGTCATAAGGTAGTGTGAGTATGCATGCCACGAAGTATTTGCTAGTCTAGTACTGGAGAAATTTGCGTTTGGATGCGCATTGTGAGCCTTTAAACAATTAAAAGCAACGCGTATAGTAGCATTCGCACAAGACAACCTTGCATTAATCTGTTTTGTATAATGCCACATATTATAAAATGTGTTGAATTAACTATAAAATCGCATGTCAAATTTCTCCATGAGTAATATTTTTAATGAGCTCATACGGCAAATAGAACAAATAAAGGCGCGATAATGGAATGAAAGAGCATTGAAATTTACACATCTACACGTACGGTCGAGTGAATCCTATCTCCCCCAATAAAGCTTGCTTCCAGAACGGCAGTAGGAGAGAGAAAGAGAGAGAGAGAGAGATAGAGATAGAGATAGAGATAGAGATAGATAGATAGCTAGATAGATGATAGATAGCAGATTAGATTATCTATTTATATGTGTCCAAACATATTTTGTATAACTTCATGTCTGCTGCTTGTTAATATTCCATTATGTTCAATTTTGCTTTTGTTTTATTGTTATCATACAAAACATTTGTTCAAATATTTCTCATCATACATCGTATATCTTATGACAGACACCTTTACACTTAATGTAATTTCTCTAAGGGTTGGCTGACTAGATGACCCGTATTGTCTTTTCGCCATCCCTTCACTGCACGTTATTTATATTTTGTTAAAAAAATCCTTGTATTTGCTGATATTGAAAGTGATAAAATAAACTATTATCTTATCTTATCTTATCTCTCTCTCTCACTCTCTCTCTTCTCTATCTATCTATCTACCTATCTATCTGAGAGATAAGATAAGATAGCATAATAGTTATTTATCACTTTCAATATCAAGCAAATACAAGGATTTTTTAAACAAAATATAATATAAATGTTTACTAAACTAAGTTGACGTATTTATCATGAATTTTTGGATGATTGCCAAATATACCTAATTCTCAACATTGTCTTTGATACATTTTGCGTATCAAGCTTAAAACATCTAAATTTGTCCACAACAAACATGCAAATCATAGAATTTCTAATGTTTTGTTGAACGGCGACTTCGCGGCCGTTGGATGCCATTTGCTGATTTCCCGGAGCTCCGCCCACTGTAAAAATAGTCTAGCATTGTGGCAGTGGTATTATCCTGAGTGTGGAAGGGCTGAGGGAAGGGGCACTGCATGCAGTTTGTAAATATTCAACATGCGAATGCGAGCGATCAGCCGGCGTATGGGATCGGCGTGCCGAAATACGCTGCCGTGAGAACCGGACACACCGGGCGGACCGGGCCCAGGGCCGTTATTTATGATCGCAAGCCGGCCAGCCGCTAGAAATCGCCACAGTGTGTCCTAGGCTTGGACGAAGCCAGCCGAGACCCTCTAATAAACTTTTTAAGGATGAAGATCGAAAATACACATCTTACACAACAGAGATTGCAATTATAGTGATATTATAGTGTTCATTGAATGTTAGTAAAAATGTGTGTTTATCATAGAAGTATACATCAGAAAAACTGAACTATCTACCCGATCATCAAACCAACAACACACTGGCCGTGTTGTTCTCTTGTGACCTCCACTAAGGGCGAAGTGACGTCACTCCGCCCCCACAATATCCGCCACGTAGCCATTCCGGCCACCGCGAGACTCTCATCGCAATGAATTGAAATGCAAAATGAAAATTGGAAATGAAAATGAAATTTTGAAATGAAAATGTGAATAATAAAAATGAATAATGGAAATGGAAATGAAAATGAATAATAAATAAAAAAAAATTTGAAATGAAAATGAAAATGCAAAATGAATTGAAATCGAAAATGAAAATGAAAATGAAATAAAATAAAAATGCGAAATGAATTTGAAATGAAAATGAAAACGAATTTGAGAAATTGAACTTTGAAATAAAAATAAATTTAAGAATAAAAATATCCGTACCACCATACTAATGGATCGCGGCGTTAGAGAGCTATGTACGACAGAACGTATCAAAGCTTGGCAACAGGTGGCGCTGTTAACTTCTAGCGCCGATATCTTCGTGACAGAAATGTGACAAATACCATAAATGTACACGATTTTGTTGTTTTTGAGGGTAAGGAATATGTTTGGATGGAGTGTTATATTACGGCCACTAGCACTTGTACGTAGACGTATGTATTTCAGTTATAATCTTCTAATACTAGTATTATCATTTCGTCGCTTTCGATGCGCGATCGGAAACGGGAAAGCGAAAAGCGAAAGCGGACCTTGTGCAGTTGTGGACGTGTGCGTTTATCAAGTTTAGCGTTGGCCCAGCGCCTGTAGCAGTGTAACAGAATACAGATGTACAGTTCGCACGCGACGAAAGATCAACTACTGCACACTGTCCGTTATGCATATACATGTAACGACTACTGTGGTTACTGTGACGGTTCGTAAATTGATGTTTTGCACGACACGGCATCATTCATAGTATTACTATTAGTATTTTTTATTATTTAATTTATTTATTTATCACCGTCCTGGACATCATCTCTATCCTTGAACCGACTAGATCACAACACAACACACGTGACGATTGGCTTTATATCAGGATCAAGTAGTGGTACCTCTTACGTGGCATCATATACAGGTATATAGCGTAGTATTAGTACTGCTGAGAGGGTCCATGTCCCCCATGGTACTGCCGGAACGTACCCTGGTACTATCTAATATGCCGGACCATACCTCGCCTACTCCACTAACGAGTCTAGGGAGTCGCCTACGCCTACTCCCTAACCCTAACCCTAGAACCATGCATATCAAATAGTTACCAGGGTACGTTCTGGCAGTACCCTGGGGGACATAGACCCTATGAGCCATAGTACTACACACTTGTAATATGCCATGACATCTCTAAAGTTACAAAATTGTTAAAATCACTTTGCCTTTGGTGCTACCGCCGTCCATGGTAGTCGGTACATGAAAGCCACTACGCAGATCTACGATGAAAACATCCACAGCATTAAACCATTAGTTGTGCTGTTTGAAGTTGAATTTTATATGTCTGAAAAAGTTTCTGATCTTTAGGGCAGGAATTGTACATGAGCTAGTGAATGAATCTGTATGAAAAAGTGTGCAAAGGCACTTAGGACCATAGAAAGAGACATGTCTTACAACTGACTTGGTGAGGTGAGTGTGTGAACTGCTGTTGCTGTTGCTGTTAGTGACAACCATGCAATGATACTCCATAAATACTGCAAATTTGATCCCACATCAAACTAGTCTGGGCCAGATGAGTGCTAAATTTTTGCAGTGTGTGTACGCTATCCCGGGCTAAATACGCGCTAGTCCAGACCAAATTAGCCCCGTAAATGGAGGTGGGCCAGGCCCGCTTTGAAGCGTGCTAAGTTAGCCCGTACTAAGTTAGGCTGCGCTAATCTATGTGTGCACGCAATCCGGGGCCAGGCGCGGGCTAAATTTCAATATACGCATGTGCATAGCCTTATTTGGGTGACATAAAAATAAAGTAGCTTTCTGCTGAGTGACGTAGCAAGCTTAACTGAGCATGCACATTCACCCTGTGCTAACTTGGCCCTGTTCAACATTTTGTGTCTGTACACTGCAATTTAGCGCGGGTCTGGCCCGGACTAGTTTGATGTAGGAT